GTTGTACTTAACAATGTTATTCTTCATGAAGGATTATGTTTCAGTGTCTCAATTATAAAACTATGTGGATATTAAATCACCAGTGATCACAGTGAGCTTTCTGCTGTTTGAATGTTAGAAGCATGAGACGATCAGCTCTGATAAAGGTCTGCATCTCGTTCATTTCCATACGTCTCCCCTTGATCAAGTCTGCTCATTTATCGTCCAAATCTGAGATGACAAGCCTTTACTTACTTTCCCAGCTGCCGGTGGTGATGAGAGTGTAATCAGAAACATCATTAAGGCTCTACATAGACGGCAGAGACTGTTAGTCCTGTTACCCACACCCATAATAACTCTGAAAATGCAAATCAGCTCCAGGTAATCTATTAATGTCACTTCAGTTTTATGTCTGCATACCAATTTAGCAGATCTTGACACATTTGGCGAGGATCCGTGCATCCGTACAGGTACTCATTTTGGTCGGGTTTCAGAGAGCACGGTCCATGCGAAGGGGAGACGGGCCATCTGTCTACACGCCTGTTTATTAATCGCCCTGATAATGAAGCTCACTCACAGCCCAACGCTCCAGGGGCATCTCTCGCACGAGTGTAATCCGCCACAACAACTTTCAGCAAGTTGGTTTCGCAGCGTTGCAATTATTGTCATTTGCAAACCCCCCCTCCCCCAGTGCACAGAGGAGGGACTAGCGACCTCCTCCTAATTACCTGAAGCGTCACTTCAAGACTTTGTTATTTCCAACTACATCACAACCCCCTTGTTAGCTGCAGACGGGTAGCAGAGCCTCCTATTTCCAGCATATGGTCGACAAACATATGGGGTGAATTTTTCAGCTTGTAGTGGCCTTAAAGTCGAAGACCCCAATAATGTGGAAACAGGATCTACGAATCCTGTGAGATCTGTGCCATCCATGCAAATGAATTACAATTCAAATCATGGCCAGGCCTGCACAAACAAGCAACAAACTAGATTTTAATTAAAGTGACAGTGAAATATAATTATCTAATGAATATACTTATGGAACTGAGAACACAAGACAGGTGTGAAGAGGTACATCAAATATTCACTTTATTAAGAGGATTGATTATGATTTGGCTTTTTGTCCTTCAATTAAAAGAGGGATCACATGCTCCTTAACTTTCCTTGAAGATTAACATTGGAAGAAATTAGACAACCTCTGGATTTGTAAGACATTGAAAAATCTATTAGATAATCAAAAAATACTGCATATGATTAAAGATGCACCAATTAATATGCATTACTTTTTGTATTATAATGAAATGTTACTAATCAACATTTTAAACAATTCTGAATGTATCAGTGCAGTTCTTAATGGATAACAAATGTATTCATTTTTTGCAGAAATGAGCTGCAGTTAGAATTGTATTTCCTTGCATAGAGACAAATACAGATCATAGAGTGAAAATTGGATTCACATTGGTCAGGTGGCTAGAAACATGACACCAAATGAATGCTAATGTGGCTGGAGGTGTAAATATGTCACTGCTTGCTAATATATTCACCACATAGCCTGTATGTGAAGATGGATGACATGACTGCTACCCAAAAGTGAAGCCAAAGCATCATAATTGAATATGTTAGTGAATGGGACCTGGGCCAAACTAAAACGTCAAAGGGCATGTTAAATAAATGTATCATTTAAGGTAATTCTTATCACAATGATAAATGTCTAAGCGCTAATTATTTCAGCATGTTTGGTTTTAATTAGTTATTTGATGCAATAGAAAGTGAAAAGACATGATTGACGACTGAGACTCGTGATTGGTCAAGCATGTGTATGCGCGAGACCAGATACCCTTGGGCAGTTCTCCAATTGATACTGTGCAGACTGGTTCAAAATGCTAAAGATGGCAGCGTGTAACCAGAATATTTTGGCTTCATTTGTGAAGATGCATTGTCCCTCTTTATGTAGAGTCTATGATTCACCAAAGTAATCTAAATGTTGTGTTAGATTGTTCCACTGCCCATGTGAAAGTGCCAAAACTCTATTGAGAAAAAAAAAAACACATTCTGAAAGTTAACATTTGTTGGATGGATATTTTCCGCCTTGCCCCGAGCACTACAGAAATACCAATTCAAACAGAGCAGTCACAAAATCTGTACGCCTTATTCTGGATCATTGCCGTAATAAGATCAAATGCTGGGCCTCTCTCCTGCAGCACAACCATCACCTCTGCTCTCCACTTCCTCTCATTGTTGCACTGTACTTTGAGAGATGATCCACTAAACAATCAAAGCGGTGGTCACCTTCATTTTCATCAATTTGGGGCAATGAAAGTCAGAGAAAAGTCAGAGAAAGCCACACGTCTTATCCGACTGGCCCTTTTAAAGGAAGAACAAAAGGTCTTTCTCCTTCATTTCCCATTAACCTCTATGTTCCTCTGCACACAGGAAACGTGGTGACCTCAGCGGCCCATGTCACATATCTCATCCGGCTGTGGGGACCGTTTCCTATGGGGGATGGTGACATTCAATGAGGGGGGTTTCTATCTAGCCGTAGTCCTTGACAGATAAAACGTGGGTGTTGATATTGTCCCTGGTCTCACTGATACCATGCGGATACACTCTTGATAAGTAAGGAGCTGGTAAGACATTGATGAAGTCTGGAGTGGAACTGACAAGCTCTGTAAGTGGATAACATCGTCAGGAGAACCAGCCTGTTACGGTTTGGATTAGATTTTTGATTATTCGATGCAGGTGGGTTCACGCCGAGCAGGAATACATCAGCATACTCAGCACTGTCTGAACTCAATACCAGATGTAATGCGGCATTTCATAGCATGTGCCATAATTACATTTTAATGCTTCCCAGTTCCTCGCCGCTGTGGAGATTTGCTCAGGCAACTTCAACAACATCCGTTTATTTTACACTCCCTTTCCTGTGGACTTTATTAGTTATCCACTGCTCAGCACACTTCCACTAATCCACTGAGTCCTGAGCACATTCTCATTTCAGTGCGATAAAGATGAAACACCACTGTAAAGAAACCCACGATTTATGAATATGAGGAGAGAGAGACGAATGACTTATTGTTGGTTTGTCCAGGACCTCTAATTCTCCCCATAATTCCACAGCATATGGAAACTTAACAAGAGGGAAACTAGTTGCTAAAAGAAAAGCCTTTCAAACAAACAATCGTGCATTCGTGAATGTTTAATTAATCAGTAGTGACAAAAGGGAACAACAGTCAACAAAGAGATTTTGATTTCCATTTCTTATGCATTATTCCCACTGGCAAATCACAGACTGCTGTCAGCTACCGCTTTCCCATCTAGCCCATCAATGTTGCTGTCCCTGCACTGCACAGACAAAACCCTCAGAGAGCTACAGTACATTTCAACCAAATCCAAATCTATTAGCAGCAAGGATCAAGCAACAGAGCTCAGACAGCAAGAGTTCACTGTTATTCTGTGTTTACACGGATAGTTTTGCGTTGTGTTTTGTACCTTTTTGCTTGCACTGGCAGCAGCCAATAAGAACCAGCGACATCGATCATGAGAATCTGAGGCAAATCGCTGTTACGTCGAGGAGCTGAATCGGAGGGTGCAGCCCACAGATGGGATTTACGTAACAGATTCCATTACATACCTAACACCATCTGCCCTAGCATGTTTTGTCAGCTTGTGACAGGTAACAAGAGGAAGCTCAATGAGGAAACACAATAACAAGTGCTTGCCGCCCAACAACAGACCCTGGCACCCTCGCTCATCTCCTCCAATGTCAAAACAGCATAAAGACACACTTTGATCTCCTTCCTGCTACTGATTTTCTACAAGACTCCTGCTGCTCTGGGGTCAGTGCCAGAGCTCCCCCATATAAATCAAAACTCTGTGTACTGATCTCCTTACAGGCCTTTGCTTATTCTACATGAGCTATACATTTGAATTATGTGATCATCACACGCTGGTCATTTAAATGCATGGATGCGATAAGAATTTGAATATATGAATGCATTAGCATACAATGAAACAGACAGTGTTTGCAGGGGTTTGTGTATCAGTTTGTGGGAGCTTTTAGCTTTTAAAACAATAGCAGAATTCATGCTTCTGCACTGAAGCTACACGTCATAGTTTTGCTTCGTTGTGTGAGTCGCGCTGCAATTAAACTGCCGCAACGCTAGTGGCTGAAGAGTTTTTATGCTGGTGTTGAGTGTCTTCTGGTTTGTGGTTCTCTAATTCTGAAACAGAAGCATGAATTGGGCTTTAGGAAGAAAAAATATTCAACGCCCAATTCTATATAGGTAGTAGACAGTGGTTTCTATTGCTAGTCCTAATGGTCTACAGATTTTGTCATCAATAAAATATCAGTCTGGGCCATCTAAACTCTCCATGAATAATACTTGATCCTATTCATCACATAACTGACTGACTGCACTTGTGAAAATGTTAAAATATGCAATAAAAAAAAAAACATATTCCCAAATCTTCTACATTATAATGCAGCATGACCCTTAACCCATACAAATGCTTGCCAGAAGATCAAGTGTTGTATCTACACATGCTGATGTTGCTGCATGTCTGAAATGTGCTAATAGGGCTTTTTTCACCCCCTGCACAACTTGAGTTGTGTGTGAAGAGCAGTAGGAGCATTTCTCCTCCAGAGTGTTTTTATCTTACAACATACAGATTGTTTGGCTCGTGTTGTGCATGTTGTCACTTGGACTTCTTTGTGTTTGTAGTGGATGTAACATTTGCAGCAGTCGGCCGTGCTAAGTGCGTGTTGACTTGAAGTTGCAGCACTGAGCTATGGGTGAAGTTCCAGTGATTTGATTTGATTTATCATTCTTGTATTTTCATTTGCAGAGACACTCATAGCGGGCAGGCTTGTAAATAGGCATACTCATTTCCTCTTATTCTTATTCAGTCATTATTTTTATGCAGTAGCCTATTATAGATCAGCCGTCTCAGAAATCTCACACACTGATTTGGCTGCTGGGTGCAGCATGGACCAGAATTGAAGCTTGTCTATTGTGACTCACCAACAGCAGACATTTCTGGAACAGAAGCTCTGTACGGGCCTTCGATGAACTGTGGGGGATTGTCGTTTATGTCCTGGACTTTGATGATGAACTCAGACGGTGGCTCCAAGGGCTCGTCTGTATCGGCATTAACAACCTGGGCTGTCAGTGTGTACTCTGCCTTCTCCTCACGGTCCAGCCTCTTCATGGCATGGATGTCGCCAGTCAACTCATTGATGGCAAAGATGGTGCCTGCCCCCTCGCCCGCCAGGACGTACTTGATGTTCTTGCCGCCCACATCCAAGTCTGTGTGTAGCTGCAATGGAGAGACAAAGTAAAACATTTAAGTTTAAAGGTGCAGCAGAGTCACTTTGATTCCACTGTGTAGACAGAAAAAAGAGGGTAGGGGGATATAATTTATGCAACTTAATAGGCTCAGCACATTTTGGGAATTCTCGGCATGTAAAAGCAGATAAGTATGCAATGTGACTGCAATGTGTTGTTTTGCTGCTGTGCTTTGTGGCAACTAGTGTAGCAGGGATACTAAACGTGCCTCAACATAGCCTACACTTTGCTAAATGAGGCCCGCTGGGGACAATAACTTCATAAGTAGCACAGGAAATGGACCTTAGCCTACATTGTTCCTTGTTATACATCACAAATACATCATACAAACACACATTGTGGGAGGATATTGCTCCCTACAGTCTGAAATTCACAGAACGAAGATGCTAGAAGCGTTGTGAATGTGCATTCCACAACACGGCAAGAACAGAAAAGTATCAGAATCCATGAAAAATTAAAGAGGAATCTGTGAGCACAGTGATTCATGCTCACGAATAACCAGCCCCAAAGTTACTGGACTATACTGCATGTTCCTCATTATTTTTGTAATTACAGTTTCATTAGTTCACTAAAGCTGCATTACGTGCTAGGCTGACTGGATGGGCTCCCACTCGCCAAATGGGCTGAGTATAACTAATGAGTCTGACAATGCTACACGAGGCCGTGGAAACATCTGTGGACAAAAGAACAGGCAAAAGCTTCTGCCGTTTCAAGCTAAAGAGGTAAATTGGAAGGGCATGAGACACAATGGTGCGAAAGAAAGAGGTCAGAGAAGAAGAGAAACACCAGGGCTTCATGAGCGAAGCGGAGGACCTTGCTATTTACATGAACAGAGAGAGCACTTCTTTCTCTGTAAGTCACCTTTCATATAAGCCTCTTGATCCCCAAGGTGAGTGACTTTCAGAGCAGAGGAGAGAGGCACCGAGCACAGCAAGCAGAATATTTACAGATCCAACGATGTGCAGTGTAGCTGTGACACAGCTGGCAGCCGTCCTCTCTTCAGCTCTTATTTGTGTTAATATACGCGGCCCTCATAAACACACACACACGCACACACAGCCGAGGCATTCATCAAAACATCTGTATTCAGCAGCTTTAATTTCATTTCCTGCCTCAGTCTTTCAGCAGCGATTCCTGTGGGAGCGTGGCAAGGGTGCAGAATAGCAAGGTAAAAATCTGTCGGTGAAAATCCCGACCTCTAAACCCCCCGCAATGTTTTTATAAGCCGCCTTTTATGCATATACCGTCTCTGAGGTGTTGTTTGCAGACACTGACAAAGCACATTCACTTAAATTGTCACACCTTGCACTTTTGTTTTCCTAATTGTGCCATCATTTCACATGAATGATGCAGCTCATTAACACAAATGCCTCACAACATCCTGCACACTGAGAAACTCTTTAAATGAGCTCAAATTAATGATGGTCTGTCATTGAGTTTTTTTATCCTATGTTGTGACTTCTTGTGTGTGGCGATGTGCCCGCGGCTCTGCATTACAGTACATGACTGCATGTGGCTGGCTTCCCTCTAAGAGTGCCAACTTGACTACTTCAGCTTGCATATTGGTTTTGGTTGCGCCATATATCACGCAGTGAATATTTTAGGGAGGCAGCTACAATTTAATCCTGCTGTGCTTGGCACTGACACGGCACTACTTCACCTGACACTAACGCTGTCAGGGGAGGTCACTGTACAAAGCCAAAGTCTTAAAACCTGTCAAAATAGGTATGAATATCTTCATTCTGGATCTTTTGCTCAAGGTCAGAAAGAACTGACAGTAGTGTTTGAACACTTGCAATTATATGGCAATGGAGCAAACTAAACATGCACATGAAGAGTTTGCAATTCAATCAAAAGCTTTAGAGTAAGTCACACAAGTTAAGTTTTGCAGGTTTTGGTATCTACTGTTTTCAAGGTCAGGAGAGAACATCAAGCACATCTATGTTGATGTAGTTGCATAAGCATATACAGCCAAACAATTGAGTGTGCTTTTTTAAATGAAATGTTTAGCTGGTGTCACCTAACCTACAGTTATAGGTTCAGTGTGTAAAATGTAAGTGTAAGAGATCTATTGACAGCAAATTAATATAAAATAATCCTGGTGATGTTTTTACAAGTGTGTTTCATCAAAATTTTAAGAATTGTTTTCTTTATCTTAGCATGGGCCCTTTATTTTTAAATACTTTGTATTTGTACATCAGGGACCTGCTCCTGATCTCTCTATGGAGGCTGCCTTGTTTTTTAAAGTGGTCCAGACTTGCCAAACTAAACACCACAAGGTTTTATGACAACTGAAGCCTACCACAGGTTCTCTTTTATGTTTGGAAGAGGGGTGTGAGGTGAGGTGTATTCAGCTGCAATATGCAAATTCACCATTAGATGTCACTAAATTCTACACACTGAACCTTTAATATTGGTTTGACTATAAGTATGAATCAGTATATTAGTATATATATTACCTCTTCATAATGACTCAATATGCTTTAACAACTTTATAATAAAGTACAAATACAATTGAAGATTAATGGCACGAAACAGAAATGGTAAAAGTGAAGCAACAAAACCAGTATAATAGATGATAAACACTAAAGACAAAACATAAAAGGTTTCGAAAACAACGTTACAAAATAAAGCCTAAACAATAATTCTTAAAATGTCACTGAAATCAAAGTTGTGATAAAGAAGAAGGTTCTAAGTTTATAGCAGCTTAAAAAGAAAGAAAAAAACCCTGCCTCGCCAGGACAGAGGGTTCATTCAAGTCCTTCAGAGCGACCAGACCATGTAATGCTTTATAAATTAGTAATTTCACCACTCCTGGCGACCACACCAGAGGACTCCTGCAACTTCTCAGTACAGGCTTAATTTTGTCCCTTATACCCCTCGCCATAGATCACTGTGCACAAACCCAGAGAGGAGCAGCTATAGATCATCTGGGCACAGAGCAGCTGGCTACTTTGTAAAGCTTCATTTATGCAACGTTAGGATGTAAAGTCATGCAATCAAGTGGCGAAACTGTAACATTTAACTGCAAGGATAAACACAGGGGGAGGAAGAGCTGCCTGCGACTGACAGTGACAGTAAGCTGGTGCATTATTTCTGTCTTATATTTTCCACAGAAAGAATCAAGACTTCATTACCGTACATAAAATTAAAATAGCTGTTCATCATTACGGCTGCACTATTAAAAACAAAACCAACACTAGGAAACTGCACAAAGGACGCTGTCACTGTGTCTTGAATTTTTAGGGCATTGTGGACAGCTCTAACATTTCATATTATAATTAAGTTAGCACACTGCATTGCTGTCTGGGTGCATTCTGCCTGACACCTTAACAGAAATTGTAGGTGGATGAATACATCCTCTACCTGCAAAAAAAGAGAAAAGGAAAAATGGCACACTGTGTGCTTTCTTTTTGAAACGAAAACTCATCCATTCAATCATCACTTTGCTAGAAAGTGGCACTTACTCCACATTCCCTGAAAGTTGAGGTGAGTCGGCTGTAACCAGCTGCAGCTCCCAACACTGATGTCTGCCCTAAATGCCCTGGTTGCCCACTTCTTAGACAGCCTTCGCACTGGAGCACACAAACAGTCATCACAGAGGACAATTACTGAGGGGAGTGGGGGGTTAAAGGAAGTCTGTCACAGGTCCCCGTCATTAGCCGAGTTGCCTGGGCAACAAAAACATCACCAACAATCAGTGACATTGACAGTGACATTCAGGAAATGGGCAGATAATGGATAACAGCATAGTGTAGTCATGATGATTATGTGCTACGATGCAGAGTTGAATCACAAAACATCAATAGAGTATTTTGAGCAGAGTGAAGGCTGTTTATACCCATGGATCATTGCACAGCCAGTTTTGTCTTTGTTCGGACTGGTGAAAAGAGTTACACCTTGAATAGTATTGAAATGTTGCCCATGATGTGTACTTTCATTCTAGTTGTAACCAATGTATAGAGTGATTGCATTATTTCATGAATGCAGCAGAGGCTATCATAAAGATCTAATAAAACCATCAGTGAGTGCAGTGTATCTATGTATATATGTATATATATATGTACATATATATATATACATACATAAATACAGGCAAGGAAAGTAATTATGATTTAGTCGCTATACTCTGGCTGTTGAAAAGACATCCTTATATTTTGAGGCTGCAGCTCAGGATGATGAGGAGCGCCTTAGCTGACTGAAGAAATTATCCTATGGCAGTACTTTGCAGTGCTCTGTCCTGTTGTGTGCATGCCCCCGCTCACGCCTGTATGCGTACACACTCGCACGCACCTCTAGTTGCCAGCCACAACGCCCAATCAGGGGCTGCGTGGGACTGCTTATCCTGTCAGCGGAGGAGGAAATATGTCAGTCCCTGCTGTAGATGATCTTTTACGGCAATCACTGTGTCCTAATGAGGAAGCTTCCACGGATTTCACTCCCCACCCCCATCACCACCACATTGAACCTGGGTTCCACATGCTTAAATGTAGCCCTACAGAAGGGAACTAATGATTATGCTCCTTGTCAGGGCAAATGTTAGATAGGACATGTTCTCCTCCTATGTATGTACCAGTAAGACTGGAGGAGGCGAGGGAGACTGAAGTGGGGAGCGAGGGGGAGGAGATGCTGTCACTGTGATGCAGCTTGTCAACTACTGTCTGCTAGAACAGACTGCACACAGTATGTCGGACTGCCCTCTCCCCAAATCTGCCTCAGATAGCCCTTGATAGCGGTCAGAGATGACTTCTCTCCAGAGATCACTAATCTTAGGCAAATTCAGTTACATAAAGACATGTGTAGATGTTATTTCAGTGGTGGAAGAAGGGATAGAGACTTTATTTGAGTCACAGCACCAGTACTACTATTACAAGTGCTGCATTCAAAATTCTACTTCAGAACAAAAGTGCTGTCAGCAAAATGTACTGAAGCCATCAAATGTAATACTCGTCCTGCAGAATAATGGCCTCT